ATCTGGAAAGATAATATTAGCTTTTTTAAGGGAAATGTTTCGACTTCCCAGCTTCAGGTTTGTAAATGTCGGCTTAAGGATTAGCATTGTGTTTACGCTATACGTCATCAATCTGTAAAGAAAATCAACTGCAACGAAGCCTTTTTTTTATCGCATCTGCACAACATGTTACGAAGAGGCTCGGCCAGAGCTGTATCCAGCTTGTGGCACACTATCGCTGACATACTGTCTGGAGCAATTTTACAATTTACGGGAAAGGCTCTTGGAAAGCATTTGGTATTGCGTCAGGGAATAATTAGGTAGCAATGAACTGGATTTCCACAATCGGCAGAGACGTAAAGCGAACACAGGAGTCCTTAAAAAATCTCGTCTTCTTGCGTACCATCCGATACTAACTGACCGTTCAGTCTCGTCACACCCAACTTCTCTCAGTAGTACGAATTTTTTCTTAGCATGTCTGAAAACCTAATGTATTTTGCTACATCATGCTTGCATTAACGCCTATACTTAATATTCAGACGCTTATAGATTCTTCTGGGAATGCTGTTGTACTTCGGCAGTAGGAAGTACCGGAAACAGAAGATAGACGATGTAAGTCTATCTTCTGTTTCCGGTGGTGTCGATGGTTTATGTCCTCAACGTTACAAAAAAATATGAAAACTGAGGCTCTAGGCCAAAATTAGGCAGGTTTTTGTAGCCCCAAGAAAACTTTTTTCAGAAATTATGTATTATACAAAAAATCCTATAGCTAGCTCATTAGATTAGATTGCTGTGTTGCCTTAAAAACGGGTGGATTCAATATGACAATGTCTACGACAAATGACATATGGTGCAAAAGTCTAAACAAAATTAGTGCTGAAAGTGCTGCAAGTCAGTGTTATTGCTGTGAACAAACTGTTTTCTACACGAGCGCTAATGTGAAAGACGGCTATCGCGGTGGGTAGGTAAATTATACTGATCGATATCGCTTAATGTTAACATGCTAGTCGCATCGCAGCATGATTTAAGGACGGAAGATACATTTGCCACTTGATCATGTCCAACTCGATGGGCCATAAGATTGAAAGCGCCTGCTCTCATCTAGAAAAACATCAGCAGCGATTCTTTCCACACAGAAAAACGAATTAAGGAGTTGACAAATACTCGTGGGTGGGCATATTACCTGGCACCTGTGTTTGAGGAGTCGCAATATATCGCAAAAGAAAATGGACTGATTGCTCCCCACGTACGAAAAGGGGCATCGTGCGATTCTAGCAAGTGGATAGTCGTTGTTTACATCGTTTACTCTATTTGTTCGCCGTCGTTGATTTCGATGTCGCCTATAATCTCTTGGTGTTCTATATAGAATCTACTGAATTGTATGTCTTACACGTCTGAATCCACGAGTTAGCCTAAATTTTAGCAGTTTTGGACCGTGTCGTTATATTATGTTATTATTATAAAATGTTGAGCCACGGGCAAGCACAAGGCTCAAGTGCCGGATGTCTGTATGCATATATTAGTTTTGCCTGCCATTCATTTGAAGTGAGCAATTATATTATAACAGGCCTTTCCACGTGGCTGACTCACTATACGGTGGGGCTAAGTGGGAGACGCATCTCCATGTACTAATAGAAGGCTCAGGTCAGAGTCTAGACACAATCGGTAAAACCCGATGCACGATACTGATATTCAACCAAAATGTGCTAGCTAATGCACATTACGGAAAACAGCAGAGGCTTTAAAAACGCAAAAAGTATGCAGACTAAAGATCTACTATATATTGATGACTGCATTCACTTTCGATGAAGTATACAAATTATTACGGTTTCCCATGCACGGCAATAAAACATTTTTCAAGCACTGATATATTTGTGCAAAAAATAAAATCTTGGTAATGACATCATGATTAAAGAATCGGTTTCTATTTAAGCCATTTACTATATACTACTACCCTGGCACATGTATCCATGTCCCATATTTATATTTAACATAACTTAAATTCAACATATTTAGCTAGATTTATAATTAGAAATTGATGTTGACCACTGCTATATTAAGAACGCCCTATCTTCAACAGCTACGGATGCGAGCACAAAAAGTCATTTACTGATGCTACTTGGGTATAGCATATGGGTATACATTTGAGTTGTGACACTAGCTAAGCTTTCTTTTGAGACGCAACGTATCAATTGGTTTAGAAATGGAAAAATATCGTAAATAAATGATGGCGAATAACTAATACATTAATTAAAAAAATGAATAATTGATTATTAAAATTGAAATAATAAGCTGTGTTTTATGTTAACTGAAAAAACACGACTACTTCTAGTTAACTTAATGCATCAAATACTGAGCCTTAGTGCTTCGCTGTTTTCGATCCGAAACTGCACGGCCGACTCAGACGGTCGATTCAACTTTTGCCTCAATCAGCATCTCCAGAAGATAATTTTTGGCTGCGTTTTACCCAAATGATCATTTCGAGCCCTGAAGTGCACGATAATGCTTTATCTTTTCTAGTCGTTAATGTCGATGTAGGAACTAATCGTGCCAACTTTTTTTTTTCTATAGGGTAAAGCCGTGTTCACCTTGATTCGCTGACTTAGATTTTCTGTTGCGCCCTATTGAATTTGACTGTTCTGGCAAGTGTTCGACTTCCCATAGGCCGCTTTTGCTTGCGCCAGCTCGAAAGAATGCTTTGCTCAGCGGATGTTTCCGCTAACAGTATCTTGTTTTTACATAATAACAATAAGGATCGTAGGGCAGTTCTGGACGTATTTGTAAAAATCAAGTTAGATTTTAGTATCAAGCAGTAGATGAATTATGTCATATCAAAGTCGCAAATATTTGCCTGGAACAAACACTAGTAGAACCTAAAAGCGTATTGCCGGAATCGTGCTATGTCCTATTTAATAGTATTAGCTTCTCACCTGCTGTTCAGAAGTATGTAGTACTTTCTAAGCCTGGAACGCGACAGTCAGAAATAGCAGTGTCTATTAGAGTTGTCGCCATTCGCAGAAAATAGCTATTTGAGCAGTTTATTGAACTAGTCTCTCAGTTTTAACGCATCAAAGCGCTGCCCAGAGCTGCTCTGTTATTAGAATGTTTCTTAACAAATGGTTACAGTATAGAAAATATTTAAGAAGCAATTTTTTCGGTAATGTAAGTGACAATGTGTTCTCGTTATGGCAGGACGTATTTACTCACCAAACTCGATTATGTGAGAGGCAGCCTAGGTCCTAACGCAGGATCATTTTTATGAAGAATTTTTTCTTACGGGAAAATGTCCCGACAGTAAACTGATAATGAAACAGAGTCGAAAGGACACCGATGGAAGTTGCGTGACTATGAAGCCAATCGCGCACCCCGGAAGGTCAAATAGTAGTATTCAGGGAGCCTCCAGCGCCTTGAAAACGTATCAAACGACGCAAATTCGAGATTTCAGATCAAGTTTTCTTGGACTAACATCTGTTATTTCAAAAACGTTTACGTCCGAAATTCGCCAAAGGCTTCAGGAGGAGTTCGCCTAATTACAATCTCGTAGTGTTCGAGGTATATCAGTAGGTGAGATTTATTGAAATTAGACACAGTATAGATAGCGAGGAAGACCTTAATTTTGCGTGGGGCTTTTAAAATTGTCCTGAGTTGTGTTCGACTGTTTTATGAAAAGCGACCTTTTCAACCTTTGTACGCTGTCTGTTGCCAGTTTTTAACTCGATGGACTCGACGATTCGTTAGGAAAATGATTCGCTACATACAGAAGCGCTACACTATAGCCTATGATGTAAAGCTCGAGGTTGAAAGAAGAGGGAGAAAGTATACATACTTGCAACTTTTCATAATGTTATTATAAAATGCACAAACAAAAAAGTGGCTCCATTATGGAATTTTATTATTTCTCTTTAGCATCACAAAGGGATAGAAACAGGATGGCTATTCCTTCCCTCGTTCTCCCCTTTGCTCGTCTGGGAGGTGGTGTTTTGGGTTGATGAGAATTTACGGCGGTAGGTTGCGATATCCGAATGCCGTCACATCATGGCGCCCCACGAGTATACCCGATGTCTATAAGTACAGAGTATTAGCATAAAGATCAGAATTATAGTAACAAAGTGAATGTGTTACACCACCTGGCGACATGGGTTACGAATACTATGACGTGGTTAGGGAAACTGTCAACCACACACACCCTCTAAGAGATCAGTCTTGACGTCGTGGAGTCGTTAGATATATCTTATGCAATAAATGCAACGGAGGTCAATAATCAGCGAGGCATTGTCATCATCATGCGTCAAGCATGATGTCCTATTAAAAGCGCCAAATTGAGCAAATAGACTTGCACTTGTGGACTTGAAATTTCGAGACATATTTGAAGCGCAGCACTCATCCACCTGTTTGCGTACGCACCTCTATTTGCGTGTCGCCTTATTATTAAAACTAGATAGAATAGATTAAGTTGTTGTATCTTTCATTGAGACTAGCCACTCAGTTATGACATAGATCACCATATTGTGCTATGCTTTATAGGCGTCTCTTTGATTCGTTCTCGTCATTATATCTGTATTCTTTTGACTTTGAAGTCACCTGGAAGATCTAACTGCCATAACGATCGCAACTTTCAAGCCGCTTCATTTTAATAAAGTAAACTCAATCGACGCTGTGTTCCGTTTGCTTCCGATGACGTTTGCATCCTCGCATGACGTGTGCCAATCTTTCGTACAAAGGCTAACAACTAGCTTTGTTATATTTAGAGTCTGCCTATAGGCCAGTAATGTGGCCGAAGGGGCTAAGGAACGGCGGCAGATACAGCCGACCGTTATATCGCCTTTGTCGAAACGACAGTGACAACATTGATCAGAACATGTACATATACGTAGGTTCTTTCATCGGTTGATCCGCCTTTAGAGACAACGAACTGTTTCCGAAGGCGGCTGACGGCCTATTTAATGTGTCATCTGCCATGCCCTCTAGCCACCGACACCCTCTCCTCAGAGGAACCTTTAAACCGCAGTCGGAACCCCGTGGTGGTCAGCCTGCGAACTACTCTATTCGAGGGTGGAACGACCACGGCAAATATCTATCGACTGAACGAAACAACAATATAAACTTGGCAAAATGAATGACACGTGCCCTGGTTGTAAAAAGAAAGTTTCAGGCCAAACGGTGACGGCTTTGAAGAGGAATTGGCACCCGCCCTGCTTCGTGTGCAAAAAGTGCGCACAGAGTTTGCTTGGGAAAGACGAATTTATGGAGCAACAAAACCAGCCGTACTGTAAGGAATGCTACCACAACACCTTCTCGCCCAAGTAAGTTACATCTGCAAAATTCCATTATAAATTAACGTGATTAACATTAGCTCGATGGTTGAGCGTTGATCTGAAGACAGCACTTGTGTTTAGAACACTATTGGAGTTCCTTTTACCAACGCTGCCGAAAAATATGCCTGATCTTCGTCAGACCAAAGACAGTCCTACCATCATCGTAAAAATTTCTGTTGTTCGCAATGTCTCGCGGGATCAATATCCAGTAGAAAAGCTTCACATATTTCAAAAATGAATTCCGAAAAATCTAATGGTGTTTTTGCTGCCGCTGCCAAACGTCGAAGCTGGCGAAGAAAAGTATATGAGAGTTGTAATGCTGATATCCATTTACTCTCGTTTCTGTGTAACTTCCACTTGCCTGCTTCCGTACTATACACTTGGCACATACAAAACGTACGTTAGCCATTGAACACGACACTTTCTAAACACATAAGCGTTCACTACTTACACCACATTTCCACCATGTCATAATCATCAAACGCAGCCGAACATGAATCTTGGCCTCCAGCGTCTCTTGTTCGGATGCGGCTATTGTCTCTTCCTTGGGAAGACGATGAGCCATCCTCCTAAAGCACCTACCTAAAAGCAGGGGGCAACAACGTATTTTTAGCAACGAAGACCACGACTGAGCGGATTGCTTTGACGGCAACCCCATAAGCGTCTTTAACGGGCTTATGTCGGCTTGCAATTATATAATTAATTATATTATATATGTTGCACATTAAGGAACTACAGCGAGACAAGTACTACGAATGCCTGCGTCTAATGATCCTACCTATTGCTGAAACAGGCAAGCTCTACGTCAAAAATTAGGTACTGCCAAATGTAATCAAGCCATGGCCTCATATTCGTGTACTTTTCTACCAGCCGGGCCAGATCGTGTATCAAGGCGCTTAGATTTGAATGCTGTTCCCCAGGCGACCTGGTGAGGTTCCATAGCGAGCACCGTCTTGATGCATATGGGTTTAATGTGCTCTAGTAATAATAATCTATTGTGTTGAATCCTATCCAAATGTTGTAGACTCGTTCTTCTCGTTTACGGGATGCGCTACTGTTAACGTTACATTAGAGTGAAACTATAAATAAACTTCTACTGATTGAACAAATTTTCTTTTTTGTGCAAAACGAAAAAATGTAACGTAAATATTTCGTAGTTTTTATACTTGTTCAACTTTGGAAAGTTCCTCAGTTGACTCTTTGTCACTCTGAACTTAAACATTTTACTTTTAGGCACGTCTTGGTCTCGAAACTCATAAATTATAAATGGCAAAAAAAATTTCTATTTCGAACCATTCAAACTTCGATAGTTTATAAATTTGAGTTTTTACTATATATTTTCGTTCGGGACCATATCTCAAGGCAAACTTGATGTTAGTTAGCATTGACGATAATCACTGCAGCAACGAGTGGGCAATGTAATGGGCAAACAATGGGTTTTCCAACTTAATCACAGTGCAGTTGTAACTGGGTTTTCAGATGTGCTAAATGCAACGAAGCTATCAAGGAAAAATGCGTCACTGCGATGGATAAAACGTGGCATCCTGAACATTTTCAATGCGCCAAATGCTCGAAGCCCATCGACGTATGCAGTAAACTTAAAATCGCACAGAGTAAACCATACCACAATGAGTGTGAGTGCGAAGTGGCTTAAACAAGCTAACAGCTCTAATAAAACATGAGCTAAATATTTTTCATCGATTATCGATTCTTTTAATCAACAGTTTCGATGCGCACTGTATGATATCGTAAAAAAAAAAACAGAAAAAAAAAACAGTAATCGTTTTGCTTTATGTACCCAACGAAATTTCCACACGATCAAAAAGCGTTAACGCCAGTGGGTCAAGCAGGGAATCTTGTTTTAGACATCGATATTTTGGTACGCTCATGAGTAAACGCGGAACAAATTTTACGCTCACTTAAGCTCTACGTGGACAGATCACGCGGTATGTCTGGATGTCTGCTTATATCTACTTTTTAAAAATAACAAAATCGTATACGTGTGAAAAATCAGTGTCTAAGTGCGCCGCTTTCATTCACCTACCATTGTTTAGCGAACAATGCAACAACAACACGGATTGTTATTGTTAAAAAAAATAAAGATAAAATATTAACTATAATTATGTTGAGTTTGTCTTCTTTTTGTTGTATCTATAACTCATACAACATATTTCAAATCAAATTAATCTTAAAAATAATGTACAAACAGCTACCGACGACGCTTATCACATATGTTCGTCTCATCCGCTTATTAGGGTACAATATTAGCACAAAGTATAAGCTATCTTAGCTCAACAACCTCTTAGTGATTTAATGACAGACATTTTATTTTCTATAGCGTTTTATTGAGCGTTACGCGGGTGGTAACGGTGATGGAGATACACGCTAGAGTATTGAGAATTAGGCCATAGTCCACCTTTCACTTAATTTGCAACAAGCGTTTATCCGTTGTGCTAATGGACTCAGACGCTTAGCTTGGCTTCAAATAAGCAGGAAAAAGCAGTCTGTACATACAAATGTATGCTATGAATTGTACGTAACAAACACGCCATACGAACAGTAGATATTTTCGTTTATAGAATGCAAGCTTCTTATCTAAATTACATGATTTCAGTAAATCAACCTTGCCTATGTAGGAGCACAACGATTCTATGCAATAGGTACTGTAATACATGTACAAACAAAATGAGCGAGCGAACCGATACCATCCAGTCGTTTTCGTCGTGAATACATCTGTCTACTGTTGATATTGCCAGGCTGTCTGTATGGGGCGTCTCTGTTTACTTTACGTTACCAATTGGCGTGTGCTGCTATCATACCTATAACTGAAAGCACAAGGTTCAGTATACCCAGTCGCGTCTATGCGCATATTTTTACCCCATGTCACAGTTGTATTGGAGAAAATGAAGTTTATAATGACGATCACATAGCATTATAGGCTGTAGAGGCCCATAGTAGCCAGTCAATACATAATAGTCTTTATTACTAATCTAACATATGAAATATTTTGTTTTTTGAGCGTTCCCACACACCAGTAGCCTCGTCCTGAAGCATTTTCGTGTTGAGCATTGTATTAGCTGTTTCAGTTTGTTCCTGTAGCGGACGTGTTTTTTACTCTGGGTACTCAGAACTGAGATTTATTAGGTTTTTCAAATAATCAGTCCATCCCTAAACGTTCTATAGATGCCTTGGGCCATACTAGCACAGGTTCTTTCCAGTCATTTTTAAACGATTTGCCCGTTTTCTCTGCAAATGCTGTGATTACTGTAGCATTTTTTGGAGCATTTTTATTAGCGTGCTAGTCGCTTTTTCTAGCTTACTTATTAGTGTCAGAGAGTGTATTTTTATCTTTATCTTTATTTTTAGCTTTATCTTTATTTCAACCCTATTCTTTTTGTTTTTGTGCTCCTATAATCATGCTAGTTGCTGCATGATCGAATTTTTCCTTTACCGCAATGTTCAAATTATCAATGAAATTTCACTCCGTCATAACTTTGAAATATCCCTTTCCAAATCCTTGAACCGTTAGGTATTCATTTGCATACACATCCATGATAATACCTCCACTAAGTTAGCTAATAGGTAAGTTGCCATCGCGTGTCGATAGGCGTCTTTTGGTTCATGATAATCTACTATGGAGCATAAGTGATTACGCTCATCTACAGCAGACATCCCTATTTATTCTACTCGGCCCCTTTCAGAATCATTGGACCAGTTCGAAACATCACTCGAATCGATTCGCGCACAGATGAGGGTTTTGTAGCTCGCTGTTCCAAACCAGAAATTTTCACCGCAAATCATTTACATAGGGCTGTGTTCGAACAAGCTGGTAAACTAAGTAAACATACAGTCCGAAAGCGCGTTTCAAGCTAAGCAGGCTTGACAAGATCATTGACCATTTTCGTCTAATTTTTCGTTTGAAATTTCACTAAAAGATAGTGAAAAATATCGGCTTCGTTACTTGGATGGTTACTATCACGCTATTAGGACCAACAATAGGTGCTTCAAGTCGCATACTTAGCAGGCACACACTCCATAGCTCTGAGAGGCTAATTGACCAACAGCTTTTTTTCATAACAACGACAAATTTAAATCGTTCAGCTTATATGTATATACGATAAATCGCGTCTTATGGTCGTTAGTTTTATTTCACATTAGCGGGCGCGCTTTCGATCATCGAAAGAATGCAGTGAGCTAGTAAGTCGTAGATCACTAGGCCAATATACCACAAACGATCGTCCATGGATATGTTAATGACAAAATGAACCGACACAGATACAACGTGCAGTAATTATTATTGAGTTATAGTAGTAAGTGTTTTAGTTTGAAGTTTTTTTTTTTAAGTGTTTTAAGTGAACACATATACAGGTCACTATCAATTATTTATGTGATTTTGAAACGCAAATGTTTTCTGAGATCTAAATTATCGCAGGGCCTATACATCACTAGCCATCGTTCGAAGCATTTGCAATCTTTATCTCTACGTATTTGTTTTCAGCGATTTCAGCAAAAATCGATGCTGGAATAGAGAAACGCTAATTGTCTTTCTGAACTTCGTCGCCCACCAAGCATTGTGTCAATAAATTAGCATTTGAGTACCGACGACAAAAAAGATGTGAAAAAAAGAGACAATAGAAGTAGAAGCAGTTCAATACTGGGCTCCCATACTTACCATGATATATGTGACGAGAAGGGTCGGTTTGTTATTTCTATCTTTTGTTGTTCTACTTTGTAACATAAGTTTAATATCCGTTACGCTTTTTTGCTTATAGCTGTTTTTGGGTTCACATACTAAACCTACAGAGAATTAAGGGAATCTTTCCGGGCTATCAATGACCTATGCAGTTAGACCACAACAAATCATCATTAGCCTACCACTGACCGCAAAAGGTTTTAGATTAGCTACTGAACCTGGTCGAGATCGTAGGTGTTTGTCGGTCATCAGCCAATTGCAGCCACCAGAGACCTCTCGCTTATCGTGAGCAGGCCAACCAACCGTCTCATAAGCATATTCGGACGGTAGTAAGCTACCGCCGAGCGACCTTTTCTATTTACAACGACCAATTTAAATCGTAAACATCCGCCCTATCCGGACCCTAACTGGCTACAAACACTCGGTACTTTATGCCGCGGGAAAACATTTTACCCTCTTGGCTAGCCCTAGGACCTTCCACTAAAATAACACGGCGTGCGTAGGTATATCTTGTTATCGTATCGTACTTTCTAGCAAGCGACATGACACTGACGTGGACCTTTTCTATTAGGGCATTGGAGTACCTCTTAATATTCCCTAAAATTATATAGGTTAATTATCACTAGAAATGCAAAATTAGTTATTGAGTTAGTTATTAATGAGTTATTGACTGTAGGGCTCTGTTGTTAAATACAGCGAAGCAATAAAACTGGTTCTCACAAAATCAGCACAATTTTTCTGCGCTCCCTGTGTGATGGACACAAATCGAGATTTTTAAGAGATCCGGAGAACGAGTTTAGTTTGTCTGTCACGATCGGGGGAACATTTAATAGCCAAAGCTAATTTTGTACTTATACAGTGCATCCAACAGTGATAACATGCTACTCTACTTCTAATCGTTATACCTAAACCATTCAATATTTTCACTCTACATACACAAAGCTTTCTTGATCGCACTAAAAAAGTGTTAGTACTTCAGAACTACCGTGCCTTATTACTCTGATAATATATAGCTTACTACTTACGACTATCGATTCAAGGGCACTGGCGATACTCCCAGTACTGGAGTACACATACGCGAAGGCTGCGTGTCCAAAACCAGAGTATACACACGATACGAACACGAGTCAACCCTGGCCATCAAAGTGAAAACTATTTTAACCCAATATCACGCTTCATGACCGCTGAAAGTATCATCGGCAGAGTGGTGAGCCATGTATAAAAGCGTTAAAGAATATAACCACAGATCATTTAACAATATATACCGGACAACCTCTGGCTTCATTCATTGTGTAATTAATCCCACAAACTGACTGCATTGAATAACCTGCAAAACAGAACAGTGCCAAACTAAAATATACTATACTCTGAGATCGTTCACACACCCGTTTGGCACTCGTTGTTTACTTCGAGTAGACCACTTTGCAGCCTACAATCTGTGCTGATCAGTTTTGTTTCCCTATCAATGAAGCATCCAGCAGTATTTAAAACATGCTTTATTCCACACTATCTTGACGTCAAAATAGCGTTATATTCGCTGCTGTTTCCATATTACGAAAATCGTGTGAAGGAACATAGTAACAAGAATTAAACGTTTAGGAATTAATCGTCGTAAATTTTCAACAGCAGCTTCCCGTTAGCACCTTCCTTCGCCTCAGTAATATCGGTATGCGCCTGCGGAGCTTCTTCTAAAGGATATTCCTTTGAAATTCGAGGCAACAGCCATCCATCGGCTACTCCTTTGCAAACATAGGCTGCTCCAGCATCCCATTCACCCTGTGGGCCCAAATCAGTACGAAAAAATCATTTGTATAGATTTGTAACAATTGACATTGAAACAACAAAAGTTGACATTGGACAGTGGATATGACGCCACAGACGGGTTAATCGGTGTCGCTGTACTGATGACAAAAAGCGTTCTCGTGAAATTTTTTGCCGAACTTCGATGTTTCGCTTATGTAAGATTTTTTGGCACCTCTACAATGAATCGCCAAAGAATCTGCTTTTTTTTGCAAGTACGGGCACACAGCTAAGAAAGCCAGAGAGCTTCGAATTTTTTTTTAACCTTCTTTCTTTTTTTTCTTTTACAAAAACCAACAAATGCAAAATATATTAAGTCCTAAAAGCTGCCCAAATTCTACGGTAAATCACTACGGTGAGTCTTTGGAAAATGCAAGTCAATCTCCATTGCACATCTAAACTTGAAGAGAAGTTTAGATCTGTTTCTTATACTAGGAGAATGCTATCAACTACACAAGGTTTATATGTACTACGGAAATCCTAACTAATGTACATTGATATAAATTAGTGTAGTAAATGAGCACTGGTTGCTTACTCTTGTCGCTTGCATAAGAGATACACCAATGACATAAAGTTCAGACGTCATAATGTGGCGTGCGTTGAGCGTATGCGTTGGTCCCCGATTCCCAACCACCTGAATTGTCAAGCGAATAACGCAGAGGCACATTATTTACTAGACAAACGCGTTCAGCTTTTATATATCGAAATGATGTATGTATGTAATGAGCTTCCAGTCCGACCACATGTCCAGGCCAACACCTCATTGCAGCTGAACCGAAAGATCAAACATGTATGCCGATCGAAAAGTAATACTTCTATTCTTTCTATCTTTCCGATCTATTCTTTCGCAAAGTACAAAAAAATACGGGCTCCAGTGCAGACCACTTAGAAATGATCTTTTTAGGCCTAATTTTCAATAACAGTGAAGTACTTGAGTCGAACAGTAGAACAGGTAACCTAACAAAGATAATGGAATTACTGAAATGATGTAAGAACGAATTATTCACCAATATCTTTCCCTGTCTGGTAGCCAAGATGCAGTCAGGTCCGAGATTGATGTCCGCTCTCATCTCTACGATGAGATCAAATCCATCCGGAAATTTATCCTGTTTTTACGGGAAATTAGAGTCCGATTCAGTCTATATTAGGATGTTTAGGATGTCTCTTACGGCACCCTCCTAAAGTTAATGAACAGACTTCGCCAAATACCTTGTTGCTAAGAGTTTGTTAAATCTAGGTAGCATATATAATAAAGTAGCCTACCTATCATGCGTAGGATCTTATATTACTTAAGATATATAATATATACGTATAATACGTATAATTACATTATATGGTAACACATAAAATATAAGGCACTCATTCTTTAATTTATATATATACCATATAATGTAATTATACGTATTATACGTATAATTACATTTTAAAAAAATTATATATTTTTTATTAATGATCATATATATGATCATTAATAAAAATATTCTTATTATTGTAAATCTGTCGATGCGAGAAATATTTAACAAACCATTGAAAATCATGGTACGCATATCGAATTGAGCAAGTTCCTATGAAATAAGCCATTCGCTGTTTCATCACTTATACCACTAAGTGATGAAACTGAACTTGTACATGACGTGTCTGAACCAGAATTGAACCGTTTGCGTTTATGAGTGATATTAGCAATTAAAACAGACATGACTTCATCGCTATGAAAAATAATTATTAAGAATAGAACAAATATGACTTGTTCTATTTTATGTCCGGTTGTATGGTTCATACTCGAACATAGTCTACGTATCCTTTCTCACGATGGCTGAAAACCGCGTCCGCCTTAAGACTTCGAAGGGTTTCCTCTCCACACTCACTGCCGGCAGTTGCCACCACTTTAAGGCCCTCCTGATGAATTGTTTAGAAATTGTTGTGTTAATATAATAATATAATAGAAGCCAATCCCTAACACAGTGATGCTACTATTGTTTGTAAAGTCAAAGACTCATATGAAATTTGCCTGAGATGAGCGATCACCTTGAACCAAAAGGATAAGTGAGCGCTGTTGTAATGAGGTAGATGAACTCACCCTTTTACCAATCTGGACACATGCTTGACCCACAGCACCACTGGCGCCGTGCACGAAAAGAGTCTGCCCGGCTTTACATTTACCTCTGTAGGGGGGAAAAACATGTAATGTAAGACTGTTTTTACCTAAAAAACCCAGTAAAATGTTCTAGGATTTTTCTTAAACAACGAATAAAAATTTCGTCTGTACGTAGGTAAGCACTTTGGCCAATGTATGATTATACGGAAACACGTGGAAGCGAAAAATGGCACGCACTTCACAATGAGTGCCCTATAGGCAGTGAGGTAGGGGACTCCTAGAGCTGCACCAACTTTCAGTCCAACATTTTTTGGTAGAAGCCAACAGTCCGTCCAAACAACAACAGCAAACTCCGCATAGGAACCATGAGGATTGGTTTGTGCAGCACAGAACCACACCAGATCATTTACCTATAACAGGTAAATATACGCATATTTCAGCACATCTTTTTTACGTAATTTTATATTTTATTCTGTATTAGTACAAAGAGAAAATATAATCAGCAGCCGATGAGACGGTGTTCGACATGAAAATGAAAGCCCATCATATTACCTTAAAAGCGGTGACACCTGAGCCAACTTTGACGATTTTGCCAGCACCATCCTTTCCAGGAGTATAGGGTAGTGAAGGAACTTTTCCAAAAGCCCCAGAACGTATGTATGTGTCCACTGGGTTAACACCAGCGTATTCCACCCTGACCAAAACCTGAGCAAGAAAAATGATCAATATTAATATACTACCGAACATACTTTACAACGCCAAGGAAACTTCTTTCCGTTACAATTAGAAGATATAGAGTAGCTGTTGCCCATCACGCTGCTTCAGGCCTCAGCATTAACAACTATTCAAGTAATCCTAAATAAAAAACCCATAGAATATTCAAAACAGCAAAAAAAATTTAAATTATCGCATCTACCTTATACCTTTGTATCTTGACTGAAGAAATACCTATTAGGGGCTACTTGCAACAGCCGGTTTGATTCTGCATCAAACCTAAAAGGTGGCGCAAAACTTTTGCTTACCTGATTTGGCTCGATTTCCGGAATAGGTACGGTAACGAGCTTCATGACATCGGGCTCTCCTAAGATCTTCACAACAATTGCCAGCATACTTTTCGCATCTTTGTCATCTTTTTTATCTTCTTTGAGTGCCTTAGACATCTTGGCACCACAATATTATACGGATTGTACGAACCCTTGCACTGTACGAAAATTCACATTAATACACTTTTCTCGAAATGTATTGCAGTGGTTTACGTACAAGTAACACCCCGTAATCTGAAAGACTCTTTAGGCTTTTTTTTTGAAAGTATTTAGGACTCTGTATGAACCACTTGCAATCTTGGTAGCCTTTTTTAAACTAAAGTAACATCTTGTGACGTAACGAATTTCACCACATTTAAAAAAAAAAATACCCAGTACCACAGACAAAATAACTAGTCTTAGGTCTTCAGGTTTATTTAAATTATTCAACTCATCCACTAATGATTCAATTATAACGTATGTTTGTAACGTATGTAAATTACTGACAGCTGTTTTTCGTGATTCGGTACTTTTAGCAAATCTAATCAACTTATTGACTTAATATGTAATTCAATCTGTTACATGAGAACTCCGCACTTGAAGCCAATAGCATGGGATGTTTTAAACGTACTGGTTTGCGGCAGAAATAAACATTTTTGCCGTAAACCACTATCTTTAATAATGTACGTTTTACTCATTTTATCATGTTGTGTGATTTGCGCGCGGTCTATTACAGTTCCTCTTCAGATCAAGAGATCAAGAACCTTAATAATGCTTTATAATTTTTCGAAATTTACTGATAACAGTACCAAACATCGTAATGTAGCTATTTAGCTTGGACAAGACAGCTGAAAATAAGACCCACAATTTATTGAAAACATTCTTCGATGCGTATTAACACTGTCCCTTAAGGACAGCTGTTTAATGCTGCCATAGTAAAATTTCACTATAATTGCAAGGTTGTGACTGAAACAACAACAACAAAGTCCAACAAATCCCCAAACAGTAAAAGAATATCAAAATCATTGAAATGTCTATCAAATCTGATACATTTCAAATTTTAAGACAGGTTAGTGCGGAAGTTGCTTCGAACAAAACAATTACCCGGTTTTAAACTATCAGTGGAAGTCTAACCGTGAAACCGGTTTCGAACTACAGTACCTAAGTAGAGTAGGCAAACATGCTACCATTGCAACATCGCCAGGACTGAGCAGTAGCTATCCTGATGTGAAAACCTCAACTAAGATAAATGGCTGAACACCAGTTGCTACCCAGATAAGTATGCAGAATATCGATATAAAATGGTCAAACGATGACATCATATAAAACGTTAAGCATACGGAAACGATCCGACTATCACTAAAGCTAAATTTAATGATCAGAGCGAGCTGAAAACCACTCCATTAATTCACAAATTTGAGACGAGCAACGCACGTAAGCAAGCAAGACAATGGGACAGAAATTTACCTAAATAACGGACGTATCCTTGAAGTGGCAAAGAGGACATATGGAAAAAAGATGGGAAATACAGGCTATTCCCGTCGTGGTGCGTGCTGACAATTCCGCGGTATAGGCGGATTAAATGAAAATGTACCAACTAGACTTATAGTGACGTCGACGACAAAGGGGAACTGTGGGTAGAACGAATGTCTAATCAATGTTTTTTGTGATAAATCATTTTATAGAATCGCAAAGCTGCTATTAATGCATGGTTATTGTATTCGTCATACGTAGTGACAGACAGTTTAATCATATTTTATAAGAAAATTGTAACATTCATAAATTAATATTAGCAGAACTTGCTTACCTTATATAATAAAATCAGTAATAGAAGAGTTCTCAAGCAGGCAATGGCGTCTCTGGCTGCTGCTAATACTAATACGATGCCTGTTTCATTTTTTTCTCCAGTCAATCCCCCACTTTCGCACTTCCGCGGGACGGTGACGCTCTTCACTAACAAAAACTGATCCTTAAGTTTACAATACCTTTTTAAATTAAAACCTGCATTGCACTTCCCATACACCCATTTACTGTTAGGTTTTCTATTTAAACCACTTCCCCTACACTAAGCGTCTACTCAATGAGCCTTTTAGCTCCTTTAGCCTTCTGCACAAAAATGCTTCTACGAATAACTTTGTTTTCTTACTAAATTCGAGTCACTTACGTTCAATTGTAAAAACACCGATTCGACAACCAATTATTTTTCTACTCCCTCACCTTCAGGTAAATACAATTTAGGCTTTTCTTCATTTTATTCTTAGATCTACCTTATAACAGCCAACAAGACAGTAGCTTGGAGTCTAAACTTACGGTGTTAAGGATGCAAAGTATGTGACCTCAGTGCTAGGTCAGCCAGCTCACAGGCCGTTGAAGAACTAAGACAACGAAACGAACTGTAACGTTTATCAGATTTTGTTGCACAATAGATGGTAAAATATTTTTTAAATTCTTTTGTGATACTTTTCACGGCGTCGTGAATAGACACTTGGAAACTTAAGTGTTGCTTATGGCATGTTGTTAATCTCAATCGAGCTTAGCGTATTTGTCACATGTCTAAAAAGGCGTATGCTTGGTGTGACAAAGCGTTTTCTTTAAAAAAAACAATAGGAACCCCTTATTTTGTCATAGGATTCAGAGAAGAGAAATTATGACCTGCTTTAGACTAACATTAGCCGCCAGACTGTAAATTGGTCTGTTATCTCAATGGTAATAACGATGCCGATAACCGTAGAAACAACCTTTAAGGTTGCCATTCACGTCGTTCTAGTTCGTTAGCCCCTTTATGAGGCTTGAAATGAAATGGATCCTCGTCGAGGAATTTAGTTATAAGTGGTGTAAAAAAGAGCATTAGGGCGATATACAAACGATATATTCATGTACATAGATAACTATATAATAATAAATTATAATAATTTATTATTCTCACGTTATGTTTTATACAATCCCAATCGATAATAAAGTAGAAGCACAAAATAGCATTTTCTTCCTTGTTTACATCAGTCTACAACAAAAGCATTTTCAGGTTTTTAACTGAAACCGGTTCTTCCTATTAGTGGTTTTCTGAAAAATAAGAAATTGATGTTTTCTGAAAAAGTAATTTTTGCATAATATAGAATGCTTTCATGCTCAAACGCTTTAATCCATTTTAACTAAATGCAAATAGAAAAAAATCCATTTTTATATGAGGAACAAATGAAAGAGAACCTCTTTTTTCTTTTCGTCACAGTCAATTCGTTATCTCCACAGTGTCGCCATAATCCTAAATTTGATTTATATTTTATAAAATGTCACGAGATTATTACATCTTGAAATATGGTGCGTTCGTTCCGAAATTTGAGCTTAAGATAAACGTATGTAGTCCGAACAAACCACGTATGTGGGGTGACAACATTTAATCCTAAGAAAACGATACATTGTAGAAGAAAACTTAACAAATAAAGTTAAGTACTACCTAATACTACTTTAATAATACCTAATGCTAAGTTAGGTATTTGAAACATGTGTTCTATGTACAGTTTGTACACGTAATATGGTAGATTGACAATGAATTTATTTCTCTAATCAACAATAAGCATTTTCGGTGCTCATCTTCAACAACTTTAGAGAATATTTCTTCAGCGCACGTAATCATGTCTATGTATGTACGTAATGTGTAGATATTTTTCACTTCGAGTTAAATCCTATAGAAGACTGTAATCTCAACAACATTAACAGTTAGAATCTCATTGAAGGGCTTTAGGTAAAATGTACATGCTGCTTTGCGAATGATAAGCATCATCATGATTATGCCTATTAGGAAAATAGATAACATGTACACATCTGCCACGCTACAACTTGTTGTGCCAAAAAGCACATTTTTTGTAATATTCAATCATTTATACTCTTCCTTTTATAGTTTTGGATTCGTTGAGATAATAAGTATACAATAATATTATCTAGTAATCATTAAACCTCTGCGATTAATCTTAATTGAAGTGATAAATACCTTCTTGTTGCATAACAAGAACTATAATAATGCTTTTCGATTATTATGCAGACGGCTCTATAATTTTATGGATCGCATCCCGCTCTACTCTTGTGAGTGGTTTTAAACAGAAATCCTGAACACCTTTTCTACCTTCAAGTGCAGCAAGTTTCTCAGTAGAATGTATAATCTTTCTACGCACGGTCTTGATCTCTTCCTCAATATCTTCCTGCTCCTTATCAATGAAATCCACTGCTCGAGCAGTCCCAATCCGAACGAGTGAGCTTCCGTAAACACACCAGGTGCGTGAGGCCGCCTCTCCTGATTGTGACTCGTTGATGCTTGTTGTCGTTCTAGTACATTGTTTTAATGCCCTCTGGGCTTCACGATTTTTTTGTCTTCGTCGATCGAGTTCGATCAGTTTCTGGCGATCGGCGAGGATGTCCTCAGCAATCAATTCCATCTGCTTTATTAAGGCAAAGATCTTCGCGAAATCCGAGTCTGTATCACTTTGGCTTGCCATAGTAACCCTCAGGCTATCAATAAAGACTCTTCGAGCAGTTCTAAAACACTTCAATCACACAAAGAGGTAACTCCGGACGCGCGTTGACTAACGAGTATCCATTTGTAGAGATAATTTCCCTACCATACAAAGAACACACACGCATTCAACACTGTCAAATTGAATAGCAAAGAAATGTCTACCTAACGCCCAATTCGTTTTGTACTGGCAATTCGTATTCATTTCTCGATTAAGGATTACATCGCTTGCCGAAACATTATAGGCCAAAACTGAAACACAACAAAAAATGTTATTCAGAAATAAATGATAGTCAGTATCAAACCTACCGGAGTCAGTACAATCATATAGACGCTGAAACGATAACATATTTTTTATTGTAAATATGCATATAAATACAATAAAAAAGGAAATATTTTCGTGATGTCAACGAGATTTTGACGACCGGCAAATATCGATCATTATGCTGACGAAAGAAAAAAATGCTCATGATATATGGCACCTTAAAACCTTTGCAAGTACCCATATAGTAAACCTAAAACTTTATCCGAAAGTATAGAAGTAATCAAGCTTAATAAACTGTAATAGAAAAGAGTTCCAAGCGGAGGATTTCGCAAGATTGCTAAATGTATATAGCTATCAACAGCTTAGGGACGCGCAAGGTGGCCTAAATTCGAAACCGGACATTGACACAATTCGCTTTGTGCTACGTCCCAACAGTCTGCAACAATGCTTAATGGCAGATCATACATAAAATGCGAAACATTTATTTATGGTGGTAACGAAACGTGGTAAATATTTCAATTTAACATGATGACAATTTTTTGCGATATCTATCTATTTAACCAGATTTGTTGGTTTAGAAAAAAAAAAGAGAAAAACAGGTGTACTGCAGTACATCTGTTTTCTTTTTTAATTAGTTGTGTATAATCATTTGGAAAAAATACCTGTTATAGGTACCACTCACCCTTCTTTGTGTAAATAAAAGTGCTTTCAATTCAATTTATGTTATAAATTTATAACTGAAACATAGATAGATAGTTCTGCATCATAAGATAGAATTTACGCACAACAGATGTCTATGGAAGTCTATAATAAATTATAAGCTGTATCTTTTCATTGTCGGAACTGAGTTTGCTTTAAATCCTTATATTTTTGTAGATTAATAATAGGATTTCGCGTGAAGATTGTGTGCTGTCATAGTCTTCCACAGTAGCATACGATCCTTACTGTCGAAGTTGCGTACACTGTAGTATACTCCTTGTCGTTCCAATAATCTCTCGTAAAGGAGCACGGCAATGGAGAAAATTGATTCTGTGTTAGAAGCTGTACCAGCCATGAGTAAATTTGGCTTTAAGAAATATACTTTCGATAACTGAAACCATCTCGACAATTCCGTAAAGGTTTTGTATACTCAGTGACGATATAAAAGCCGCTGACGCGAACTTTAGGTAACACTTGATTCACATGCGAAGACAAACACTAATCAGTTGACGCTGCGTAGGCAAAATCACAATGCTCTCGCTGATCATCTGACATTTGTTTGAAACAACAAGATTTATCGTAGGGATTCTCCGAAATAGTTCTAGGTGGCTTTTTCAGAAAATGTCTTGTAAATTTTGATAAGACATCGAAATACGTAGCAAGTTACTAAATTTCTGCTTTTACATGGGCGCTTCAGCAGAAACGAATCTCATGGATCACTTTCTTCCGAGCCGCCTATGCCCCGTCTGAAGAATTCGTTCATTCGATTTGGATAATTGGCGCCAAAATCTTTACCAATACCCGTATCACGTCAGGCCATATCTGTTCTATAAGTGCCGAAAATAACTATATATGTTATATTTATAGTTTTTATTAGAAACTGTTACAATGCAGTTTAATAAAAGTCGTCGCATAGGCGGTCCTTTAAGACCAAATAAATTAGGCTTCAAACAACGTAAAATCACATTATTGGATATGTATGAAACTCCTGAAGGTACGTATAAAGATAGTAATGCGTGCGTATAACATCATTGCGTAGATATACATTTCACCGTAAGCAATTAACTAGCAAAATATAAAATTAAGCATAAATAAGCGATATAAAATTAAGCAGAATGTTATAAAATTAGTGATGTCAATTTTTTATAGATAGAGATTTACAAAACGAGAAAAGTAATTTTTCGAAAACTGCTTAAGCACACAGGCGAGTCTTGCCACATCTAACAGCATGCATATCTAAATTAAGACATGTGCTGCAATTTTTTTCAATTGTATTATTTTATCATCTATGTTATGCAGGTATTCTTCGTGGGGTTTGAAGTAACCCTTCCAATTTTAATATGAGCTCATAGCTTCATTGAATCCTTTATATATGTGAAGTATATACCTGAGGCTTGGTTGTTTAAAAAATCAGAAAAACTATAGATAGATCCTTCCTTGTTTCAATATTCTGTAAAGCGGAACAGACATTTAAAATCGTACATAGTACGGTGCTGCTAGCTTAAGTCATTTTTGGCGCCTCCAGTGAATTCCCGTACTATATCTTAGCTACAAGCAGATTGTTTTTATAGATATTTTACCAGATTTCTGCGGCATCGAAGAGTTCTATCAAGCAGCTTTTGATCGTCTTCAAGTGTTGCAAACGTTAGAAGATCTCTGTGGGCGTATGGCCAGAAGCAGTACTGAGTTCGAACCACAACTTCTGAAAAGCCTCAGAGAGAAGAAGCTCAGGCATTGGATTTCCAGTTCTAGTGACCCTGACGGAGGCCTTGAACACAAGAAGGTTTTAGATAGAATCTACTTCCAAAATGCTTAATGAAATCGTATATAGTTTCTATATGTTAATTCTTTGGATGCTTGACTAGAGCATCAGGCTTCCAGGTATCTTTTAACGTGTTAATATATGTATCTCATGATACTATTAGCCTGACAATTAAGGAAAGCGACCCTTATCATCGAATTATACATATATTACACGTATAATTTTACTATATGTAGTGCTAAGGCTGATTATCTTCAAATCTACATTGGTAGTTGGTATGTTGTGGTACCATGCACTCCTTTTGAACTCTGATGTTGCTAATGCCACGTAAATGCATTCTTCACGCTTATAATTCCTTCCAATTGCTGCATTCACACGCATAGAGTAAAACTCACATAGTGAAATAAGGTATGGGATCCTTTTATTATTCGCAGCTCGATGTTATGTCCCACTTTACTCTACGGCTGGTATATTGCCAAAGCGAAGATCTTCGTCGGTGGTACCTCCAATGGGAAACTGAGTTATTCCGCTGTCGACTTGAGCGTGAAAGTTCTGAAATGATACGAATGTTTCAGGAAGATTGGAATCTTATTTTTGATCCAGTCGATACTGAGGAAAAAGCTGATATAATTAATCAAGTGATAGCAGCCAGGCCCCAAGCGAACGCTCAGGTGATCAACATTTATTAGAATGTTTTTCTTCGATTGTTCATTTCAGTTGTTTTTGTTTTTCAAGGATCTCTTCTTTAAAGGACAGTTCCATAAAGTATCTACATCTAGTCACTCTTTCATTATTTACATGGTGTTAAAAGAAAAACGTAACAAAGACTTTTCTGGATTATGATTCCAAAATAATGTTTTTAAAAGCATAGTAAGAGATTATAATCACGATCAAGCTTAACGTGCGGCCTCACATGTCGGGGGCAAGTTCCATTTTCTATTGGACAACATTATAAAAAGTCACATTGATAAACACCATGTGTCACAAGTTAGAATCATTATAAGTGTATTCCTATATCATTAGGTAAATCCGTTTGAAATCGTTGTCTCGTTCTATAAAAATAAGCGATCTAGAGGTTCAGGTTTTGCTGTCAAGTTTGTACGCAGAAAAAAACTGACCTCTAAAGTAAAAGTTTTCAAACGAAAAAAATTATTGAAAGCTCCTTTTTTATAACGTTAAAAAATACAAGATACAGGTATTGAACGTAGAAGACGGTATGTATCAATATGAGTTTTAAAATTACCTGCCGTATGGACACTCAAAAGAGGAATCGCGGCTTTGATCGCGTAATTCCTTCACCCCGTATTTTTTGTTGCAGCTTGTCAATTCATCAAGCCTATACAAGGTTCACTTTACAATAGTGCCTGATATGGTATCAAGACGTCGAGTTTTCGTTCGCCATGGTTACGCTTACCTTCTTCCCGAAGACACAAAGGGCATCGTCGTCTCGGAATTTCGCACATATCTCTCCAAGATGCTGACAAAGCTTGCGACTTGCCCCAATATCTACAACAAGGACGACCAGGTTGAAGTTCATCAATTGATTCAATATTCTTATATCCAACTAGAGTTAATGAGCAATATTTTCGTCATTTTTGAGGTATTTTAATATGACCTAGATGAGCGCTCGTGTTGAGTTTTATTTATGTCTTCTTTTCTGTGTTGATTGGTTCGGAATTGAAAAAAAAACGTGCTTAGGTCTTAAAATTGTAGAATTTATCTACCCTAGTTTTTGTGTATATTATAAGGCCCTTTGATTACCAATGTTTATAGGCTTGAAGAGAAATAGGCCACAGGCAAGCTTCAGTTTTCTCACTCATATTTCATAATCTCTATTATTAAAAAGACTTTTTTAATTTTTCGGTTTGAAATGGAAAGTTTACAAAGGTCAATAAAGTTGCATAATCATCTACCCTTATCAACTTTACAAAATGGTCGCACATGCAAAATAATAGGTGGCGCCGTTGATAAAACTTTTGGCGCGTCGGCAAATCCAAGCTGAACGCACTTTTCGCGACGAAGGTTCCGTGACGCCTGCGGATCTCGATAGTCTATCGAAAAGCGCTTATCCTCTTTGCATGTCAGTGATGCACGACTGGCTCCGGGAAAAGCACCATCTGAAACACACAGGACGTTTGTCGTTAACCCTTTTCCTGAAAGGTATCGGATTGTCCATGGATGATTCTCTTAAATTCTTCAGTCAAGAGTTCGCCAAGGTAAGGTATCAATGTTACAAAAGCCCATTACTAGTTAAAATATATTACAACAATTTGAATTTATCATACGATTATTTTTAGCGTTCAGTATTTCTAATGATAAGACTAAAGATATAATTTATTACTATTAATTATTATTAATGTGCTTCATTGGTTTTAGTTGTAAGTGATGAAACTGAGTGTTGTAAACTTTTAGATTTTCGTGGAATAAAATTCTATGGTTGTTTCTTCGATAAGAATTGATTCCTCACAGTTTCGCTTAGAAGATGTCGATCTGCTAGATCAATTTCGCACAACTTATATTATGTAATATAGGTTTTGTAATATAGGCATAGAATTCGTTTAGTTTGTTATTGTTTCAACGTATGTGACTATATTCATATTTGGCTGCTCGGTTTTTAGTGAGTACACTGAAAAAATTTTCATCCTGAAAATGCAGGGAGTATCTACGCCTGTACCTTTATCGCAGATTTTCCACAACTCAAAGGCAAAATGGTATTTTTGTGTTTTTTTTTTACTGAAGTCTATTGGTCAGGAGAAATTTAGCAAAGAGTATGCGTACGCAATACGTCACTCATACGGAAAAGAAGGCAAGAGAGCAGATTACCGACCATACAACTGCATGAAGATGGCTAGCTTACACAATCCTTCCGGTATGGAATGTCACGGCTGTCCGTACAAGGTATTGTCAGCAGACATGTCTTAACTTACGTTGCACATTGTTGTATTTCCATTTGCGACAACAGGAGAAAATCACTAGCTTGAAATAGGCTTCGTGCACGAAAGCACCTTGTATATAGTTCTTCTAAGGTTAGCAATGAGCAACCAGGCAATAACTCCAATAATCTTCCCTTACTTGTACCGTTACCTTAAATTTTCTAGACTCTAGACACGGAAGTGCTAAAATCGCGCCTTCGCAGCCGTGGAGTGACTCCAAGTGTAATCAGTGATGTACTTGCGGATGTGAAGAACTTCAACTATCAAGCTGCATGCACACGAGTCAGTATGAACATGCAGAAAAGTAATTTCTATTTTTATTCATGGAAAATATCAGATTATTAGACATTAATGCCTTTTATTTGATAACTGGTCTTTCTTAGCTAGCTGATTAGGACTGAATGCTGAATTTTTGTTCTTCTGGTGGTATCTGGAACGTCACTCTAATTAAACAGGTATTCGAAAATCGTACGGGACGTATACTAGGCCAAAGCATTGTCCACCCGAATCAGTACTTTGAGGAAAGCGACAAAGTACTGAAAGGCACTTCTCAACTTCCAACAGAACCCAATAAGACTGAAAAGACGATTACCAAAATATATAAGAAGGCAAAGCCGGAACCAGAAGAACGGGACATAAAGCAAGAAGTAGAGGAAGCGGCAGGGGATCATATGGACGATGATGATGTGTGAAAGCATTACTTTCAAATATTTGCATTTAATGGTAAATGCTCGGGCGGTCTAAAATCGTCTTTGGCTGATTATGATACAACCGCCGACAGGCTGGCCTGAGGTCTTTTTTAGTCAAATTCTTTGTTGCGCATAATAGCAAAATCTATCGACTGGTCAAGAATCTCAGCAGCACTACATATATAAAAGCATCATTGCCTCATTTGTGTACGATTTTCTTTTTTTTTTCTGGTTTTAGCTAACGCTTAACAGAGGCCGAATAAACAATACAAAAAACAAATATATATTGTTACCGCTAGACATATCACTTACTTAGCATTAAACCACTCTTGTCTAGCCGTTGATTTCTACAACTGGAACTTTCTTAAGGCTTCTTTTCCTCAAGCAACGAATGCAGTCAATTCGTTGGTGTCATTCTATCTCATTAAGAACAATATCCATAGTCAGAACATTTTCTGTTAAAAACGCTGTATGAATGGTTTTGTATTACTTGGTATATATATATATATATATAATGAATTTCATTGGAAGTTTTTTTTACTTAGATAAACGCAAATAAACGTAAATCGAAAGATTCAATGTACGTAATGGATCTACGTACGCGCCTCATTATTTATTATAAATTCAAAGCTTCATAGTTTATTTTTAAATATAGTTTGTTTGATCGAATATAATTTGGTGACTTATCGTTGCCATTTATTAGCCAAGTAATGTAACCTAATAGGTCAAAATCCTGTCTAAACTCTAGAACTCTGAAAGCGAGACATGGCTTTTTTAATTCTCCTCACCAAACTCACGTTGCAAGCTTTGGTAACCACATCTTGCAAGATATTATTGAACTCTAATGGTCAAGGATCTAATTTGGCTACTATGCTGTCCAAAAGAAAGGTAGTATCATATGATTGTTAATATATTACATTAGGACAGTCAGTCTAGGGTATTTTTCCACCAGCTATTCTATCCCATAAATATGGACTTCGCATTAAACAAGCGTAGATAATGGACGTAATGAAGATGATTCAAGAACAGAAAGCTTTACATAGTTGTGTATACATCCTATTAATAGGAAATGATATGTACGAAACGTTGACCTAATCTGGAGTCCGGTAGACCTTTTCCTCAGATTATGTTGCATGCCCAACATTAATGTAAGGTTTAGATAAATAAATATTTTTTGTTCCAGTCATTCTCAATATAGCGACGGAAGAAAGAAAAGGTATTGCTCGTGCCTATTTGTATCCGTTCTTTTTGGTTAAAACGAGTTAGAATTAAATTGTCTTCATTCAGAAAAGCTTAATGACAAGCTATCACAGCTAAGCTAACGCCATATCTCTAACAAAAATTCACACGTTGACTACGGGACTAACTTGCGGAACAGGCTTACAGATCCACTTCTATGGGAACTCGAGTGAACAAGGTAGAGAGGCGAGGGACATTGTAGGTCAAACGATTAACACTAAAAAATTATTTGATTATTACACTCAAATATCCTAAGATCGATAAAAACTAAGCGAGAGGTAAGAGGTTAGAGGAATAGTTGCTTATGTCACGGACCAAATGAACAAAATCAGCTGGGGAAACTCTGAAAATCCGCAAGTTTGGATTTGCGATAGAGCTAATAGTGTAACAGATTTATATGAATGGTTTACGATAAGAACCTGCTTGCATTTAGTGCAATAGGGTTATGGCGAAAAAGTGGTTGAATCATTCCTTATAAATACACCTATATTTTTACCGCGCTGTACAAAATGAACCAATAAGTGCCCTTCTCAATTCGCTAGAGCAAAAGGCAAAGCATTTTTCACTACATCAAATTCCCTTAATTAAATTCCTGATAAAACTGAAACTAGTATACCAAAGCTCGTTGGGTCAATGGAATACAGTGATATAACATTGCATTGGAAAAACCCTATCAGAAATTGATGTCGCTAGTAATTACAGTGAAAGTAGCTCAGAGTGTTTGGGAACTGGTTGAGTTGCTACATGTGACTGTTATGATCACAGAAACTAATATCGTCAGAAATACGAGACAAAGTATTTCATAATTTATGTATGTACACATTAGCGTTTTCACATTTATCTTTATACAAAGCTCTATACTTCGAGTTTTATGTCCAGTATCATCGTTAGGATTAACACCGAACGGCTGACTCTTTGCACGAAATGAGTTCTGTGTATGCCCGGGTTCGAACCTAAACCATAAAATGTCCTAAGTAAATACATTACGTACTATGCTGTCATGGTGGCGATGATTACAAAACTCATCTTCTGTCTCAATTGGGCTTCTCTCACTCAATATATTTCTCTTTAGATAGTTCATCACTTATTATTTAGGGCTCGTTCTGCTGCTTGATTGTCGCAATTCGTGGGTCATCTTTGACTCCGCTTTCCGCGAGATTCGTATCTCTGGGGTAGACTGGTTGACAAAAGGATACACTGGATTGATTGTGGCAGCTACTACTATTAGCTGTAATTTGCTACCTTTACTTCAAATCGTACAGTGGAACACGACACCAGGTTACCGTTTCAAGTTGTAAGTATTCGCGCGAAACTAAATGTGTGAGAAACGATGCGTTGTCATACCCATTTCAGCGGTTGAATTAACTTAGTTAGTAAAAGTTGTTGTTATTATGAACAATTAAGCTTTATGATAGAGCTCTACTAGTAACACTAACTACAGGAGCAGTAACAGCCTTGAAAGCACCTATAAATGAACAATAGCTAATTGCCGTTGTTATTATTATTTTTATTGTTACAAGTGGTTGTGGAAGAGAGCAATTAATGGAGAGGATTTTTTTTATATCAATCGCTGTTGTGAGAGTGACGATTTCTCACCCTGACGGTGATATTCATTTTTCATATGTAATGCTGCTTTCCCGATAGCAACTTTTCGATGCAACAAAGTGAGCGTTCCTTCTCTTACCCACAGTTTTTCACGCTGTATAGAGAAGAAGTAGTAGAAAATAAGTCAGTGTCGCGGGAAATGGTAGTAGTGGCGGTGGGTTGCATAACCCATAATATGACCATGGACAACAAACAAACGATCACAGAAGTATTGAGGCCAAGCAGCTACTGCGCATGCGCCTAGATCGGTGTACCTTTGGTGGACTGAAGGTATGGTATAGACCAAGTCTCTTTGTACATTGTTCTCTAACATCATCGTTGTAAGGAACGGTTAGTTACCAACCAAAAAAGACACTACAGCTCCGATCTGTTCGACCGGTAACCACGAAGAAGTACGAGTAACTATACTTTGCGAAATCTTGTAACGGCAGAGACGAGCCGAAGCACTCAAACTTGGGGTGTTCTTATGACACACAGATCAAGCAACGAATAGGTTGCTTACCGACCCACGTTAAACTAACATTATTTAATGCAACTATATATGAGCTGAATATAATGTGGATATGGAATGAGTAAAAGAGGCTAAGACACTGAAAGTAACTATGCAAAATAATTTTATCCTGCTCCAAAGTTTGAACAACTCACTTTGCAAGTTAAGCCAGTATTTACTCTGCTCTGCATGCTCAATGTGGCATTGTAGCAGATCATTTATTTCGTACAAAGATCTCTAATCTTTTCAAGAGATGCGAGATCGCGAAGGTAGTTCAGCTGAACACGGGAATGGCCCACGAAACACGCGAAAACAGTGACCATTTTGCCCGAAGAAGGTTCAACCCCAGATCGAATCTCCTGCAACTATACAATCACACTTAGACTAGATTTACAAACTTCCGCTAACCAAGATGTCTGCCCTGAGGCGGAGAATCGATTTAAAAGTGTTGTCACAGATAAAAACGCTCATTAATAAAGAAAAGAGATATAACGTCAAAACAGCAACGATTTCTGCCAATAACACGTTCTCTATGGAAGATTCTGAGGAAACGAAAGCTATCGATATTTATAATAGAACCGTCTGCTTGCTATTGCACCAGTGCGGAAAATGTCAGCCCACTTAAGTCTATTGAGTAAAATTATTTCTATTGGGTAATATTATTATTAATATATAACGAATATGATATAAATTGTATCTGTTTCGCTTATTATTTGATAAGGCGAATTGCCTCATAAATACTATCAATGCATATTAGTTTACGATTTTATCAATTCTGTGTTTGTCCTTGTGGATTAAGTCCTTCCAGATGTTACCTCCACGTGAACTTCAAATTGGGTGACATCCAAATGTGCGCTCTTGTTTCAATATTTCTTCAAATTCGTTTCATGCTCGAGCCTAGCCTTAACATAGTAAGCGACTTGCTAGAGCATGTCAGTTTGCTGGAACCAGCGGCTTTCAAGTTGAGTGAGCTTTTGTTGATACCTGATAATGAGAAAAATACCGAAAAAAGTTAATAACTGTTGGCTTTGACAGTCATAATGCAAATGAAGCCGTGTATTTAAAGCTCTGCATGTTTACGTTATTCTTCCCTTTTCAATCAAACACAGTTTTAATTGATCAAATACACTATTCCGCAAACTTCACCAAAATACTTAGAAGTAAGTGGCACAATTAAAATCAGAAGGCTTTTGGAACGTCATTGATATTTAACAGCTGAGAACGATGCATCAAAAATTTACGACATTTACAAATAAGCATTCATCTGACTATTGAGTCACATAGTACGTGATACTACTTAAATTACGCTCCTATGTGAACTTCCTTATTTTTTAAGGTCATATGCAATTTTTTCGTCGATCGGTCTGTGTATTCGCGTTCACACCATGACAACAAAGATACGAAGTACAAGTTTCCCGAAGATCGATGTAAAATTAAGTTACATATCGTTATCGAATCATATATATCATTTCAGTTCATACAAATAATAGGTTGAACTAAATACGACGGTTCCGATACGGTGAATGTAAGGACACGCAGGGTTTCAGACGTGACGACACGGCTAGTGTTCAATAGACACTTTAACGACGACACTATTCAAGATGTGTAGCTTGATCGTCTGTAATTCGATAAAATCGTTGATGATGCGATTTAAATTGGTATCTTCTGCTCTTACTATATTTTTTTTTATTTACAATCAATGTAACTTTATCTCTAGCATTTATGGAAATGTTTACATGGACTACTCGTTTTTTTTTACTGATCATAGGAGCAGTGAGTAGACGCACTCAGTAGTCAAAGTACGTACCTGCTTCGTTAAAGTATGTCTAACGAAGAACAGGGTATGTTCCTGACGCCAACTATGAGCTATCTGAAAGATAGAAACTATTATATTCAAACAACCAATCCTTAGTGGCGCACAAAATCAGTTCGTCATTAATTACGAGTGAAATTACTGCTTTGATCGTGATTAATTAATTTTATTACCATTAGTTATTATATATAAGCTGTAAAGTTACGGGGCATTGTCATGATATGTGACGGGAACGAATATCGACTAGGGGTATGACGGGGCTTTCGACGTGTGCTTTCTTGTCAAACAGTTACACCCATTTAAGAAATGGTTACATGCAACAACACCAATATTAATTATTAATACTATAACAATTGCCAGAATATAGTGATTTATTACAATTTTAGCAATATTAAGCCATTATTTTCTCTGTATCCATA